AATCAAGAAATGTGATTTTGGGACGTTGTCAGCGTAAAAGTAGAGATCAAGAGCATCAAAACGATACATAGCTTGTCAAAATTGGGTTCGAAACAGCGGAGAAAAGGGCACCAGAGCCAAATGCCCCGCGCCCCGCGTTCAGGGTAGCGAGGTAGCGCGCAGCGCGCGGAGACGCAGACGAGCAGCGGAGACAGACCAGAGCCGACGGGGCATTTGGCTCTGGTCGTAGATCTCCGCGGGGTCTCAACGAAACCCTGCAACATTATATATCATTCTGACCGTCATGACACGACGAGGAGAGCTAACAACGTCCCAAGCTTCAAAAGTCACTTAATAACAAGATAGACCAGCATTTTCGTGCGCGACTCTCTGCGTACATTTAAGCGCAGTTTCTCGTTTTAATTCAACTCCAGCAGGCTTTCCCAAACTTTTGAAACTCATTTTTGGTCAGGTAAGAGGCTAACTGAGGAACGTTGTCCTGAATTCTGAGGAAACTTTCACAGAAATTCTCTCTTCAGCGTAAAAAAGGCTTCAAAAAACGATTTCTCGGTTTGAGATATTCTCCAGATATTCTTTCCTATATTTGGTTCATTCACATTCTTCCGATAAGTTACATCCGGGGCTTCGCCTCGGATGACTTTTGTTTTTTTCCTAGGCAAAGGTTGTGTCCCCTCATAGACCTCAAAGTGAAGGTTACCAGAGTATGTGGCTCTATGTATCGAGAGTATGATTTGAACACCATCTTGTAAAGCATGGTTTGCTCTATGGAATGATATATTTCCTAGATCTTTATACTTTTTCTGCGGCTCTAAAGTAAGTTATATGCATTGATTGTGCATCAACCTAATATAGTGGTGGTACAAGAACCTCCACTGGATAATTACTGCTCAATTTTGAACCTATTTTTTTACTTACTGTCTCCAGCATGACAAGAAGTTCGAGCAGTATTTCTTTGGAGCATATTGTTGCAATCGCTTCAGATCCACAATTAGCAAACCAAAATTATCATTATGCAAAAAAACCTAATATCTATTCATTTGGGTTCTCGTTCGTATTGAATTAAGGGCTGTACTTACTCCATTCAAGTTCCCGAATTTTTGCAGATATCAGATATTCTCTTCCAGTGTCTACATGGAAATGTTGACACTGGAAGAGAATCCTTTCAAATTGTAGAAAGAAACCTTAACAGACTTTTCCGGTCGCCGTAGTCCAAATTTTTCTGTCAATACGCTTTCTTCTCATACATACACGATGCTATTTATAGATTTTGCAATCTACTTTGTAAATATGTTTAACTCACAAATACTGTAGTTTGTTGGAATGTTGAAACATGACTGTTTCTGCTTGGACAGAATTTCTTTTTTAAAACGAAAAATTTGCTTTTTCTATCGAAACTTGAATTAGAATTAGAATGAAAAATGACTATCGTCTAAATCACATGTCACTGTCGGGAAATTTTTTGAAATCTAGTACTGTGTTCAAAATACGATCAAGCGATTTTTATTGATTTTACAAAAAAAACGTTTCACAATAGGTCGGATGAGTGATGGGTGTCTGCAAAGTGCAACAATTTGATTGATAGCCAAAAATGTTGATTTGGCAATTAGCCAAAGAAACATAAGAGAGTTGTTTCCTGCTACTGCTAAAGTTTGATTTTTCCATGCTAAAATATATCCGAGATTTCTGATTAAGATCGAATGTTTTTCACATGCTCAACATGAAATCCACAAGAGTTTTATTTTTTGTGTTTTCTTAATAAAAATTACGCAAAATGCGAAAAATACCTATTGCCATTGATAGTTCTCAGTGAAGTGAACCGTGTGCAAAAGTAACAGAGTGAAAGCATTAATTCAGCAAATGAGCTGATTGAGATAAAAGCGCTGGAATGACCAGCAGTCAGGACATTTCCTCCAATCCAGCTCTCAGTTTCTGCAGTCCGGTTTGCAAACTTTTTTGTAAGCTTGAAAGCTATTCTATTTCAATAGCAAGATTTGAATTAGGAAGATAGGGAGTTCTTTCTCAAATAATCTTACAGGAATCGCTTTATAAGCGTCTTTGGATCCACAGGACTAAAGAAATGTAAGTGTCTGATGTGCTTTCAACTTTAATCCAGCAATTATAATGATATGCACTTTACTTTTGAAACTGAGCAGTATCTTTACTGCATTAAAATAATGTTCTAGCATCCTGACATTGAAAAATTAGTTTTATCTATTTGCGGAGAGAAAGCGCAGATCAGGAAGAAGAAGAATAGAATTGCTTAGAATTACATCGCCGCTTTCAATTGCACAAATTATGTAAAAGTTTGAAAAATTCAGCACACTTAAAATGTAGCGAAATTTTTGATCGTATAATCAAAAAATAAATCTGTGAAAATAGTGTGAAATCGCAATGAAATCCGTGCGGACAATTTCCACGCCTCGCTCGATTGATGGCCTTCATAAAAACGGTTGAATTTTCGGGCCTACACCCCCGTAAGCGCTGCCAAATTGCTTTCGATCGGTTGATCTCTGTACTGCATCACAAATCCACCATGACACAAAAATTTATTGAAAATGAGTAAAGGAGACAAAGATGCGTCATTGTGTGTTCTTGGCCTAGTGGCTAAGTTCCTGCTTGATGTGAAATAGGTCTCAGGTTCGATGCCAGCCAATGACGATTCGTGCAGGGGTCCTGAAATTGGCCGCTATGTGAGCTAACGACAACGCTGCGATGCGGACATCGGGTCGGCTAGCAGATGTTGTCGGAAAGATAGCACCCACCGAGGCTGATTAACCAATTTCATTCACATTTTATCGAGGGGTTTGAAACAGATTTGAAATGCATCCGAATATTCAAATCATCCCAAATTTCTGACCTAAAATATTTGCTCAAATTAGTTGAACTAAATTTATTTAACAAATCACTGCAAAATCATCACTTGCAGAAATTCGATTATGCCTAGAAAATTCTCAATATTTTCTCCGTTAAACACAATATTCAATAAGAATTGTTGAAGTGCTTGATAATGAAATGTTAGGGTAAAAGCATCGTTGAATTTTATGCATTACTTTGAAGCTGATGCTTAAGTCTGACCACTGCATGTTATTCTGAAAAAATTGATAACTTCTTTCCTTTTTCCTTTTCTCAACATAATTCTTGGTAATTATTTGTAGCGAAGTGGAAATAACTTGCTGCATTTTACACAAAACCTTATGCATATGAGATAACCTTTTTATTCATATTTACATCCCTTTAAACGTTTCAAATCTATCTCTGATCCTATGTGGAAGAAGCCAGAGATATTTTGAAATCATGTGTTCTATGTGACTTAAAGACAGTGTTCAGGCTAAATCTAACCCCTCCGATTAGGGTCTATCCTGAATTTAGGCTCCAGGGGAGGGACATCTGCATTAGTCAGGTCCTCCAATGTTGTCTCTGAGTGGAGGAATGGGTCTGGAAGAGCTAAAGTGCTATCAGGCCCCGCCCAGATCCTATCAGACTCCGCCCACCCATCTACTGAAAGCCGCCCGCGCCCTCAAGATAGGGTCCTCAGAAATCGGGTTTTTTGGAATTTTGGACTATTTGTACCCTCATGACTGTATCAGGGCCACGGATGGGCTCCGGAATGGTTAAAAAACATGGAATGCAAAATTTTGAGTGAAGGCTGCCTTTAACTTTGAGGTTTTGTTGTGAAAGTCTATGGCATAGAGCGAAGATTCAGCAAAAACGGAGCATAGTGAAATACCCAGGTAAGCTTTTCTTGGGTATGGGTGATGAGTGACAACAAATTACATATTTTTGAGGCTCTCTGATCTAACAGTAAGTCCGTGACAGAGAGCGGGAGTACAGCACTGGGAAACCACGAAATAGTATAGAGGTAACAGTATGCCCATGTCTGACATTAAAGTATAGATTTTAGCAATGATGTGGTGCTAAGCCAATACAAATAAAACTTACTGAGCACGCCCGATCATTGTAAGAGAAAATTGCGTAATTAACTCCTACACATTTTCTTGTGCGACCTCTTTTTCCCAATTCCCTCCTCCCTTCCTCGCCAAAACTCTTTCAACTAGCTAGCCCGAGCAACTAGTATAGACGTTCCGTGCCAATTCTTATCATGCCATGTGGTCTAGCGCAATTCTCGTTTACAAAGATTAGTTTCATTGTTTGAACGAAGGAACTTCCTGCGCGACTGTCCAGTCCGACTATCATTCATCACCTCGTTAGCGTGTCGTTGAAGTGATATTTTTAGCACAAGTTTTACAGCGCATACCAAAGAACAAAACAGCTCTGCCAGGAATCCAGTAGACACACTATAGAATGAAATTATTGTTTATGCATATGATTTTTATTCACTTGTCCATCTTGCTACCATATTAAGCGTTACCCGAAAGGATGATTTAGATTTCAGTTTCGAGTACGTAAATCGTCAAAGAAGACTGTGATAATTTCTAATCCCATTCCCGCTCTCCTTGAATGATTCCAAAGCAATTTAAATGGATCTCTTCCTGACCCTGAATGAAGTCATGACTAAAATTCAGAAAAGGTCATGGATCTTCGGATATTGAAAGGAACCCGGATCGCCATGAATACGAAAAGGTAAGCAGTAAAATTTGCTGTCGTTTTATCACTTATCTCAGCCGTAAACGATGGACAGATTTACTTTGGAATTTCCATAATTATCAACTCTCTCATCAATTAGCCGCACTGGAAGATAAATATTGAAAATAAATAAATAAATATTCCTTGTTGGAAGAAGTGCGAGGAGAGGGAAGGGAGAGAAAGCAGTGAGTTTTCCCCCTTCCCTCACAAAAACTTGATTTTTTGCGCGTCCGTCGGGAATGTGCAGACCATTGTCCATCCAAAGAATCAAACCATCAAATTGCTATGATCATGGTCATAATATCGGTGACCTTCTTCGGAGACACGAGTTAAGTAGACAGACGTCGCCGCCCCTGCTGACCATGCTTTAAAGGTGTTCAGGCACCCTAGAACCCGGATACACTTCCATCAGCAGCATGTCCACGTTCATTGTTTGCTTTTTAGCTTTGAGTACACTTACGCAGCAAGGTTAGTTACAGGCTCTTCATGCTTGTAATAAGAATTTTGAAAAAAATTGAGTTTGGATTGATATCTTTGCTTTTCAGCCAATTCATTAACCATTTTGGAACGACATCTGGAGAAGCAAAGTAACCCAAAGCTACGACTAGCAGAACTGAAAGCTCCAAACATCCACGACTGGGTCTTCCATCATGACCCGGAACAAAAGCTCAACTACAAATCGGTATGTTCAATGAAATTCGAAAAAAAGCAGAATCTTTCTCTAAGCTGGACTTTTTCTAGATTTTTCACGTCGGCACCTTTCGTGGCCTCCCAATAAAATCACGCCAAAATAGCGTTTATGTGGACGGAAGCGGAGAAGTTCACTCTATTCTACCCTATAATAAAGTCAGCACACGTATCCATTCGCGACCTATGAGATACTAACGGATGTCACAATGCCACAGAAAATTGAGAGGAGTGTGGTGGCTACCGCGAAGGAGCTCAGAAAGCACAACTAATTTGGATCCCGCGAAGTAAAATCTCCTTTCTATGAGATTAGAAACGTACTGAGCTATATGATAATTAGTATTTCGGCCTGATTGTAAGAATGCACTCAACAGAATAATTTATTGTTTATGGAAATGAAGACAAACCTGTAGGACTGTCCCAGCGTATGTAGTCAGAAAGAGTTGGTTTTTACTGAATTATCGTAGAGAAGACTTAATGGTCAGTTATGTCCTTTGTTTGCTATATGTTAGATACCTATTTGCCAGAATTCAATAAATAATGACACATTCTTTCTATATGAATTGCAACATTCGCGCTATTTACATCTCTGGTAATGAAAAAGCTGCAAGGCTAATAACGTGATACTGCTCATTTCAGGCTAGAAATTCCAATTTTTTTCAAATTTTCGAGAAAACTTCCGACTGGGGGAAAGCACACCTATCCTGAGATAAAGAAACGAGACAAAGAGGTGAGCTCCCAAAATGTTTCAAGAAACGTTCAGAGTTGCACACTTCTTATTATACATACTGCATGTTGAAACTATATACATACTGCATCTTGCAAGCTGAAAAATTCCACTTTTGAACCTTTTGACGGTATCCCGCAAATAGTATTCAAGCGATGCGCAAAAGAATTTTCCACACATCTCTTTCATATTTTCAATATTTGCCTTATATGTGGGGAGGTGCCTAACATTTGGAAAGAAGCTATTGTTACCGCCATTCCAAAGGTACCTAAACCCATGACGGTGACCAAATTCAGGCCTATAAGCATAAATTATATCCCATGCAAAATTTTTGAGAAAATTCTACGCGACAAACTTTTTTCTTGGTTTAAAAAATTCAAACCCATACCTTCCGAACAACATGGTTTCGTCAATGGAGCATCAACTGTGACACAACTGATAGATTGCAGACATGACTGGATCAAAGCTTCAATTGATAAAAAAGAAGTGGATGTAATCTATTTCGATTTGTCCAAAGCTTTCGACCGTATAAGTCATGATAAATTGTTATACAAGCTGGAGCATTATGGCATCAGAGGAGTTCTACTGGAATTGATCAAATCCTATCTTCACTCTAGATTTACAACTGTCCGTGTTGGTGGAGATCACTCTGAGCATTTTCCATGTACAAGTGGGCTTCCGCAGGGAGGTGCTCTTTCACCTCTTTTCTTCATTATCTATACCGCCGACTTGCCCAGAATTTTGAAAACTCATCCTGATATTCACGTACTAATGTACGCCGATGACATAAAAATATACGGGATTTATGATGACAGCAATCGCGCAGTTATCAAAGATGCTTTACAACGCGCCATCGACCGTATGATTGAATGGTGCGCAATTTGGGATATCTCGATAAACGTCAAAAAAAGTGTCGTATTTCATATTGGTGCGATAAGCGATGCCAATTATGAACACGCAGGAGTCATGCTATCCAACGAAACATCAGTTAAGGATTTGAGAGTCGTATTCGACGACACCTTAAAACCTGATCTGCAAATTTCAAGTGTCACCTCACGAGCTTTTTCAACTTTATACACCATTTTTCGCAATATTAAAGTCGATGACGTCAAAATACTGGTCAAATTGTACAAAGCATACGTAATCCCTTTATTAGAATATGCAAGTCCTGTTTGGAGCCCCTCTCTTAGGAAGCACACAGAGACCCTGGAGAGTGTTCAGAGAGTCTTTACCAAACTTCTCTTTTATTGTTGTTTTCCGAATTCATCATATCCACATTTGCTTCCGCATTATGATGAACGCTTGAAAACACTTGGTCTTGAATACATCTCATATCGTAGAGTTATTCACGATCTTGTTCTTGCATTTAGGATTTACAGGGGAGAAACTAAACTGAGTCCTTCCAAGTATTGGGTATTCAAGCCTAGTCATGGAAGGACCAGCGGATTTGCTATTTATCTACCAACAAGCGGTGGGCGAAATCAGTTTTGCACCTTATTAGAAAGTGATTTTTTTGTTCGTGCATCGAGAATGCTGGAAAAAATACCAAAAGAACTTCTAGCTTGCAAAAATAGTATATCATTCAAACGTGAAATTAAAAGCTGAACTTGAATGATTTCTTTCTTCGCAGGTAGAGCTTCTCTTCTTTGTTTTATGCTCACTTTGCCAGCCACACGTGCTTTCCTGACTTCCCATCAGCGCATGCGTCCGACAATCTTAGTTTATATCTACTTTGCTAGATTTGTTCTTCTACTAACCCAGATTTTTACCGCATAGTTTCGAGCCCAGCCTACCTACTACCACGCACTAGTTTGGTACAGCTTACCAACATAGACTGATGCTTGTCCGATTTACAATATATTTCAAATTTCCTTGGAGCTTTGTATCCTCCCCGGCAAACTGTGTTGGGCGGGGCTGCCAGTATACCCGCCAGCCGAACTTCCGGTTTGTTATTATGAAATCAAAATAAGATCGTTCCTTGCTGGCAAACGAGGGGGCATGGGTACTTCTCCAGAGTGTTTCCCCATAGAGTTCACGCAAGTGCGAGCATTGTTATCTATACGCGTTTACGCAAGCTGCTTCTACACAATCTTTTCTCTCATAAGCTTAGTCTGGGCTTGAAAGATGTGGTGAAATGCTCATTATTGTTGTGTTTAATGTATTACTGACACATTTTTGTCTATGTTTTGGAACGCCTAGAGCGTATCTAATGAATGAATGAATGAATGTTGTACTCTCAAAAGGGGATTTGCTTATTCATAGAGCATTTTGATATAGAATTCTTATATGGGAAAGAGTATGACGTAAAAATTAGAATTGCTGGCGGTCAGAATTCACCGGAATTTTTAGCATTCTCTGGTGTTCAGAAGTGAAAGTTCGTTCCAACGTTCTTGATCAGCTTATATCGCCAGCATATGCCAACACTGACTTTCAGTCCTTCACTAAAAAGTGTGAAATCTTATGATTAAAGACATTAGTCATGCTATATTAGGAAAGGTTTTGTTCAAGACTTTTCTAATTGCTTTACTTACTACTTGCTACTAGGTCACCTCAGTAATGTTAATGACTTTCCACGTTCGAAATAATGATTGTTCAAGCGGGTTAATTTTAACTTTATTAGTATGACACAAGCGTTTTATTGTAATTATGACACAAACGCAAAGGCATCATTATAATCATAAAACAAGCGTTGTATCACCATAAACTGATAGATGAATGTTAATTAAGGTTTTAGCAGCAAATCGGATTCAGCGTGACGGCAAACATACTATGAGATTATCACTTCAATCAATCTCACGTCATTTTTACCTTACCAAGTAATTATGCCGTAACCTAAAAGGTAGCTATTCGTAACAAAAAAGGTCCAAACTTCAGCACTGACAATGTGCGAGATTGATTATGAGGTGTCTTTTTCACATATTCAACTTCCCATATCATTTCCTAGCAGCAACTGCTCTGAGAACACGATTTCCAGCAATGAAGGTGAAGGAGCCGATTACTGACAGATATTTGAGCGTATCAAACATATTGAGACGTAGCCAAAAGATGACATAAAGTCCGAACATTGCTGAAACATACAATCGACCTTGAACTATCACATAGTTGTGGGCTTACCGCTTAATCCAACGTGGAAAAGAGCTACCCAAGCAGTCATCGGCATTTTGGTACTGTTCACACCAATGCGGTTCCACTGTAAGATTAGATACAGGTCAAAATTACACAGAATTTGTAGATCGCTTATTACCAGTATGAGAAGCAACGAAAGAGGAGCGAGGCATAGGATTGTAAAGGAGTCTGACAGAAAGACCGCAGGTCTCCTTTCCGGTTCACGAAAAATATGTTTAATTTCAGGTTTGGGTTCATATTGAACTTGGTAAGACACTGGCTCCGATTTTCTGACAACGGACGGTACAGTAATCATAAAATCAGCCTGAAAAAAGCCTTTGTCGTACAAATAAGGTTGGAAAGTGCAATCTTACAAAAGGCCATGTCAGAGGTGTCTGAATGAACGCGTCACCAATAATAAGATAAGCAGTATAAATTCCAGATAGCCCATCGAAATCTTTGTAATTTTTGGAGAAATCCTGAAAACTTTTTATACTTTGCGCGTTAAGAGGTGCAACGCGGTACCAACGCCTTTGAGTCGGGAAGCTGATGCGCCCCACTCGAGCTTGCTAATTTGAGTAAGTGAACTTACAATGTCAACAGCATATTTGCCATCCTTCAGTGGATTTGCAGTATAGAATACCTCGTGTTCATTTCCATGCTTGAACATTACGAAAGTCTAGAAAATTTGACCTGCTGTCATGCAAAAACATTTGGGTGATTTTTGTAAAATAACCTGATGAGGTTTCAAGTGACTGCTTGCATCGTCGTATTTCAGGGAAAAGAAAATGTGTAAATGCTTTGTACGGTCCACATTTAGGATATCTATGCTCTTGACAAATGGGGTGACACTAAAAGTGAAAGTTACATCTTTGTCGACGACTAATATCACAAGAACAAAAGATTATTCAACGTCGAGTGCACGAAAGCAGTCACTATGATATTTAGCTGAATGACCAATCGCTTGATTAATTCAGAACATTATCTGCAAACTTTTTACGAGTGATAAAAGTGGCAAATTTGTAATTGCAGACTCCTATTAAAAAATCTCGTTTGTAAGAGCCTTGATAACTTGCAAAAGGAAGAATAAAATTGATCGGGCCCTCTACCAAAATCAAGCACTCTGCGGTTGTTTGCACAACATTCTTGCGTTAAAGACAATAAGCAAATTTCCTTGCGCAAGTAAATTTAGCGGATCACAGACGACAACATGTTTGGGAACAGTTTACAGCACACTTGATGGGTATATGTATGTGGGTTGCAAACGTGCGCTTCACAATGAGGTCTGCAGGTACAGCTTCATATTATGATTGGTTAGAAAATAAGAGTACCTCTTTTTTTTTTTCAAATAGTTTCCAGCGCATTTTTTGCTAGATTAAACAAGATATATATACCTTTTAAATGAGTTTTCAGAAATTTCTTCTCCTATCTTTGAGATTTCAATTTCCAAGTCGTCAACCAATATATTTCTACTCTTTTTGATCAGAACATGGGAAGCGGTTGTCCCGATAAGACGCTTATCCTGAGATGCAAGATTTCTCCAATAAACGTGATTTCTGAAACAACCTACATTGCTCTCGATTTTTATATGCAGCCTGATGAAATCGTTTATAGTCGGAATATTATCAGGACTGATGGTCCAAAACCTTGAGTCTCTAAAAATGTTTATTTTTAAGAAAAGATAGCTTCCACGCTGTAAGCACGTACGATGACATAGGTTCCAGCTTCAAATTGCTTATAAGTGTCAGGTCTGAAGCAGCAGACTTAGCTCCAGCGCGAATACCGTTAGCTTCGATTAGTTTTCCGAGGACGTTGGTCAGAGCAATTTTGATGGGCTACGGTAGCGATACTGTAGTTGTACGGTACAGATTATGCACATGACTCACCTGATCTGAGGCCACTTCCACAGGTCCTTCACGCGATACCACTACAGGCACAAATTCAGTATTGTCTGCCAAAGCTTTCAGAGCTCCTAAGAGGTGATAGGTGATCTTAGGAGCAACCGCTTGTTTGCGAGACAGCAAGTAGTTTGTAAACTGGAGCAGCTTCTTCTGCAATGCAGAATTTATGCTCGTAAATTTTATTTTCTTCTTTCGTGAATCAATTCAATAAAGTAACCGCGACTTTCGCTCTTGAATCCCAAAGATTGGAGCTTACCTCGGGCACAGCTGGCTTCTTCCCTTGCTTTTCAGCCAACGCTACAATTCCGCGAACAGCAACGGCAGTGGTAACAATGCTCTCATCAAACTAAACTGTAAGAAGGATCTACAAAAATGGGATAACAGTGAGATGCTTACCCTCAAATACTTTCCATCCACTTCATCTGCTTGCGCAACAAGATTCAGAATTTTGTTGAAATATTTTGCTCCCACTTCCTTTTCCAAAAATGAGGCTGCGTTCATAATCCAAGCCATACTAACAATCTATCTGATGATGGTACATTCCTTACTCAATCAAAACGACTCACTTGGCTGGATCATCGTCTTTCCTCATAGATGCGGTCAGAGCCTTGTCGAATGTAGCTTGATCTACCTAAATAGGTGAAGCTGAGGAGGAAGATGTACACACAAAAGCTCTGTCACCTTAATTTTCAGGTGATCAGCTATACGGAAAGCCCAGTACAAACTCTCACCTCTATACACTTCTTCCACCGTTTTTTCCACAGTTTCCTGGAGAGAAATCAGAGTAAGATGCAAGGTACAGTCAAATAAAGTGTAATTGTAGTCAAGTACTATACTAATGTGCTGTAGCCAAGTAAAGTACAGTCACATTATAGTGCCGAGATGATGCGGTAAAATTTACGCCTAAACAACAAGACACGCCATCAATGTGCATTTTGCGCGCGCAAGTGGCCAGCAAAATAGGCGTAGTTATTTTTGAGCGCAAATTTCACCGCACTGTGTGGGCACCGCAAGCACACTATATTGAGCGGAAAAGTCTATTCAACTGTAAGTAGTCTGCCTGTTATGATTCATCACTTTGTTGAGCTATACTTGGACTCTAGTATGTATGTGTTATTGGCATCCCATGATTTCAGATTACTTGCATGTTACGGGTAACGTCCAGGACAAGCTCTTCAGTTTGCTAAATGCGACTGATGATGCAGTAGTACCCTGCGGTGTCGATGATTGCGTCAAAAACTTCATGTTTGCAGCACTCCAAAAACTTGCTTGCGATTTGCGGACAAAAGTGGCCCGAAGGCGCCACTGAGCATTGACGCGCAAACGTCGGCAATGCAAAAACACTGTTGACCGTCACAGTACTACGGTGTGAGCAATGCGCTCAATTTAGTATGGTATGTAAGCATGTCTACGCATGCTTTTTCGTCGAACGCTGATTCATATGTTTAGGGCGTGACGACGACGGTCAAGCGATGCTCTCAAGGAGATTCTCCTCCGATGCCAAGCCACCGAGTGGACGCTAATGACTCCCCTCCTCTTAACCTCTTTGGGCCGCCGCCGCACCGCCATCGTCTACACTGATCTCAACTTCATGATATACTTACTTGTGTCCATGCTGTTCATATGTTAATGTTGCTCATATACTTTTGGGGCTACTTATTTCATTGGTGCTATAACGGACAAAATATATTTGTACGGATCGGTGTTTCTACCAGTTTGCCAGTCGTTTCTGTGGCGCCACGCTTACTGGTAGCAGCGAGTGGTTCTGCCGCCAGGAGGATTGTTGAGTCGTTTTGGAAGTTTCAGCCCTGATGGGCCTCCAACGGTGACTTGGCACCTTGTTCTTTGGGAAAAGGCAATTGTGATTGTTTTAGCAAATTTCGCCTGTTTTGAGCCCCTTTCCGTAACCTAGGGCCAGGTTTCGGAAACGTTGCGTGTTGAGTTTTGGAATTAATCTATCAATTCACGATTCTCTTTCCTTAAATTTGATTCCCGGGTTTCCAGCAGTTTCATGCTGGATTAGTGTGCATACCTGATGGTGGACGTCCAGTGGAAAATAGAACGCCAAGAAGTGCTGGCCCCAGCATTTAGAGTGAGTATTGTGGATGAGAGATGTTCTCCCTGCCGGTTGAGTTGAGGTGCGCACCTTCAATATACCGTTTATTGTCTTGTTGGCTCAGGCGCTCGCCCCTGTTTAGTAGCTGCGCGCAGGTAAGTCGAGAGGAGGATAATAATGCTTGTTTGTCCGCACGGTGCTTTCAGCCGTTTTACGCGGATTTTAGATTGTTCCAGCGTAATTGCTGATGACAACTCCTCAGCTAAGTCTGAGTGTAGCCGATATCTAGCGATCGATCACTTCGCTAAGTGAAGCGTTAAAAAGTATGGACCAATTGATGTATTCTTGATAAATCAACAGGAATGTGCTTTGAACTAATACAGAATTAGAGTTCCGACAGGAAGGCAAATGATTCATCTTTGCGAAGCGGACTCAAAATGATGTATCTGTTTGAAATCACCGAGTACAGTCGAATCATGCCTTATGATCACGTGTGCTTGCACACGCCGTCCATCTTTGGCGTTCTCATCATATTTGCAATCGCAAAACCAGAGACTAACGGGTATATGTCAAGATGAACGATAGCTGGTAACAGTGGCGCGCGGGGTCATGAACTGGCAATAACGTGTTCGCTCGAAGCTCCGCCCTACTGCGGCGGACGAGTTTCTCGGACGATATGTCAAGTAAAAATAACTTTTGATAGTGAGATATAAGCTTGTTGCAAGCTGGAGTGAAGCTTGACTGTTTACAGAATCTTGTTTTGATTTTTAGTTTCTTTTTTTGGCAATCAATGAACAGCTGATGTTTTGGTCGTGAAATTCGAGAGATTTGCTGATTTACCCATGAATGACCGAGTGACTCCTGGATATCGAACTTTGAATTGTGAAATCAATATAGAACACCTCTGGCATGATTGTCTGAGGGAACTCACATCTTAGACTAGTTCACACGTAATTTCGATGGAGTTACAGATCGATTTATGTTGAGGATAGCAGCTTTTGGAAGCAAAATAAAAGAATTTGATTATTTAAAGCAGATTCGAAAATATATAAGTGCAGTATGATTTTCCTGAAATCTGCAAAAATTTATGTGATATGACCGCATATTTGCAAAACAAGTTAGTTTGCTTGAAACAAAACTCGTCTATAATGCTTGTTTTGAATTCTCGTCGCAATGAAATCTGTTTTAGTTATGATTAGGGTTTTAGAACTTACTTTTCCGATAAAACATATAATGGTGTTTCATTTCATAAGCTGAATTTTTTTGAAATTGAACTTGAGAGTGCACATCAAAGCATATTCAGTACGGTAACAGATGCAAATAGAGAAAAACATTCTTCCAAGCATTTTCGAAACAATTTCCTCATACCTGCAATGAAAAATCATTTTGGACAAGCCTACTAGGAACAAATAACTGAAACAGATTAGAAAGAGCTTGCGAACTAATTCCATAATGAATCAATTGAAATTTTGAAATCTACTGTTTCCAAATTACCAACTGAAGAAGCATGAACGAAGTATTAGAGAGTTTTCTTATAGCTGCAACGCATTCCCAGAGTAATTAACAAGGGGGCGGAGCGACCAGCGCACCGCGTACGGTACCCAGCTGGCGGCTGGCACATGCTATCGTTCATCTTGACCGCCACCCCTCCATTACCAATGGTCATTAAGGAGCAATTCTTGTCTGGAGCATATAACCGTGTTGAGAATACCCGCCAACAGACACCTAAGGGCAAGAATCCTACGCTGTCGGAACCACCCCCTGTTTTCTGTGGCCGTAAAACAGATCATTTCCGATTTAAGGTAAACAAGTACACACACGCTCATTCCCATATAAGTTTCAATATTAAAACGGCTATCATATATGGTGAAACTCTAAGAATCTACAGAACTTAAACAATTTTTGAAAATTTTGTGGAACGATTGTTTATTCTCATAAATCAACTGTTGGTACTAGAATATTCGCCTAACATGATAGCTAATGCGCTTATTAAATGCTTAACCTTTAACAAAAGTATTTCTTCCAAATATCTTGAATTACATTCTTTCAAAAACACAAAAAAATTCGTTAAATTTTTGTTTCAGAAACTTAAACTCTATGATCTTTAAAATTGTGATCTCATCTCCTTTTCTCTTTGATCTTTTCGCTCTACCCTTAGCGTATAAATAGAGTTCCTCAGCTCAATTTCATGTATTACTGCTATCACCACTCTTCTCTACTGATGAGCCTCGGGAGTGGTCTACCATATACCCTAACCTGTATAGGGGTAGAGGCGAAACAGGCTGTATAGTATTCTAACACTGTATACACTTATTTAAGTGGAAAACAGCAAAACATCAGCCGCCGCTTCAAGGAAGGACGCCTCCGGTTTGAGCACTACAAGGACAGGTCAACCAAGAGCTCACAGAGCAATAGAGAGACGAATACATCCTCGCCGAGAAAGTGTTTCCAATACAATTGAGAAGATGGTGCGCGTTATGTTCCAAGTTCGGCCACCACACGTTATCTGCGTGACCACTGCGTCCCTTCTCAACACCACGGGACCGAAAGGGGTTGTTTGAGAAGTATTTGAGAAATTTTTCCACACTCATCAGTGACGAAGCATCTCAAGTCCCCGAGCCGGTGCTTATCTTATGGCTAACCAACTCCCTCAGGTTTGTCACATCTACATGTGCTTATCTTATGGCTAACCGACTCCCTCAGGTTTGTCACATCTTCATCGGCGACGTACACCAACCGGAACCCGAACCCCATATCGTTGCTCGTGGAGTTCCTCCCACCCGCTTTGGAGCGAAGAGCGTCATGGGCGTTCTGATGAGGTCTAGAACAGTTTCAGTTGCATCGTTGGTTACCATCTTCCGTTCTCACCCGCTCCTGAACGATCTCCCGAACGTTTTCGCCTATCAAGGGCAACTCAGGAGCGGTGTTACAGCGGAGCAATGCGCACTTCTGCTTGGGCGATGAGCTTCCCTGACGGTCGGACACCGTTCCTTCTCTTGGACGTAGCCGGAAATTCGGAGAGGGCCGCAAGTCTGTCCTACTACAACGAGGCGGAAGCCGAGGTATGCAGGACAATAATTCAGCGCCTGCGAGCCCGACGGATCGAAGCTTCATCGATATGTGTTTTGTCCTCAACAAGAAGCGACTGCGCAGGCTGATGCCGTTTGCTCAGAGAAATCAGGTGGTGCTAGCTACGGGCGACTTGTAAGCGTGTCTACGCATGCTTCTTCGTCGGACGCTGACTCATATGATTAGGGCGTGACGACGACGGTCAAGCGATGCTCTCAAGGAGATTCTGCGATGCCAAGCCACCGATTGGACGCTCATGGCTCCTCTCCTCTTAACCTCTTTGGGCCGCCGCCGTACCAACAGTGTCTACACTGATCTCTATTTCATGATCCACTTGTGTGCATGTTGTTCATATGTTAATGCTGCTCATATACTTTTGGTGCTACTTATGTCATTGTTGCTATAACAGATAAAATATATTAGTATGTATCGGTGTTTCTACCAGTTTGCCAGCCGTTTCCGCGGCTCCGCGCTTACTAGTAAATACTAGGATTCTACAGTGTCATGCCCGAGTATATGGAATCGACGTCACTCACCCTAGCGCCAGCCACACCCTCCAAGACGCAACTCGGAACGTCGTTGAGCATCGCAACCGCATGATAAAGGTTGTCCAATACAGTCAAATCTGCTTTTTTCACAGTTTCACAGGCAACCTGGAGGAAAAAGTGGGGTGCGTAGCAAGTGGTACCCGGGCAGCCGACTGCTGACGCAGCCAGCCGCCAGAGCTGGCGTCAGCGCAGCCGCATATGGTAGGATAATTACGCTAGTCGTCTGATACCTTTCCGCCGAGAGGTTTCCTCGCACCTCGTCGCGCTGAGGTGCAATATCAGCCCCATGGATAGCGCAATATTATCAATAATGTTATCAATATTCATATCATTTTAATCAGCAAAAATCTTAGTTTATTGATAAAATGGAAATGAACAAATTTAGACAGAGCAAAGTTTTCCTGGAGAATGGTCCAAAAATTTAATCTCTTAAAATGGCCAGAAGGTGAAATAATTTAAAATTCAAAAAGTGTTTAGTTACTAAAAATTTTGTTTTTTAAAATTCAAAGCCGGAGGAGAACTGACGGCCCAATTTGAGAAGAAAGGTTTGTTCAAATGAGGATCTAAAGACTTAGTGATGATAAAAAAAGCTGATAAGCCCAAGTAGATGAAATGACTGAGCGAAAGTGAGTCAAAGTTGAGTAGGTCACTGATAAAAGGAAATATGCCACCCATGCTGATATAAAAGAAGAGTAGGTAATCAAGAACAAAATGTCTAATCTATACAGCCTTCTACAAGAGCCTTAGACTCAAGCGTATGTGGAAAATTCATCGCTTTAATTTTTCTTTATTAAAAGCACCTATAGAAATTTTGAGAAAAAAATTAATGATCTAGAATTCGTTGCCTCTGCCCTCCCAGTTGTACACTTCAACTACTGAAGTTTCCCGCGAATTCCGCCGATTTTTTTTGCCGATTTTTGGAGATATGCCGTTTGTATATAGTTTTGTAGAGGTTTGCATGGTTCTCAATAAACTAGGAATTTCTTGCTGTTCAAAATGATATGGATATATCTTATATATAAAGCTGAATGTCTGTTTGTCTGTCTGTATGTCTGTATGTCTGTCTGTCTGTCTGTGTGTACGTATGTTCCGAATAGAAAATTCCATTTCTGAACCGATCCGGACCAAACTTGGCACACATACACTACGGGCCCCGGCGGGTGTCATAGGCTACTTTTCGTCATCGATCGATATCGATTTTATCGATTTTTATCGATTTTTTTGCTGAGTTCACCTACGGGGCTGGGAGTTTGCACAGGGGGGTAATCGAGCATGGGGATTCCGAATACAATATTGGTTTTCAGGATTATCGATTACTTTTATCGATTTTATCGATTTTTTTGCAAAGTTTGAGCTACGGGGCTGGGAGTTGGCACAGGGGGGTAATCGAGCATGGGGATTCCGAATACAATATTGGTTTTCGGGATTATCGATTACTTTTATCGATTTTATCGATTTTTTTGCAAAGTTTGAGCTACGGGGCTGGGAGTTGGCACAGGGGGGTAATCGAGCATGGGGATTCCGAATACAATATTGGTTTTCGGGATTATCGATTACTTTTATCGATTTTATCGATTTTTTTGCAAAGTTTGAGCTAGGGGGCTGGGAGTTGGCACAGGGGGGTAATCGAGCATGCTGATCATCCCCAAGGGGGGTGATCAGCATGCTCGATTACGCCCCTGTGCCAAATTCCAGCCCCCTAGCTCAAATTTTCAAAAAATCGATAAAATCGATAAAAGTAATGGACGATCCTGAAAACTAATATTGTGTTCGTAATCAGCATGCTCGATTACCCCCCTGTGCAAAATCCCAGCCTCGCATGTCAAACTTTGCAAAAAATCGATAAAATCAATAAAAGTAATCGATGATTCTGAAAACTAATATTGTATTCGGAATCCCCATGCTCACTTCCCCCCTGTGCCAACTCCTAGCCCTGTAGGTGAACTCTGCAAAAAAATCGATAAAAATCGGTAAAATCGACATCGATCGATAACGAAAAGTGGACTGTGACACCCGCCGGGGCCCGAAGTGTATGTGTGCCAAGTTTGGTCCGGATACGGCGGAGCCGGGTAAGCCAGCTAGTTGATATATAAGATCGATAATATTGCGTTGTCCTTGAGGCTGACGAGGTGCGAGGAAATCTTTCGGCGGAGAGTTTCAGACGGCTAGCGTAATTATCCTACCATATGCGGCTGCGCTGACGCCAGCTCTGGCGGCTGGCTGCGGTAGCAGTCGGCTGCCTGGGTACCACTTGCACGCCTCCCGAAAAAGTGAAAGCAGAAAAAAAAAGAGCGCAAAAGGAGTTACATTTGCAACATCGCTGGTTAGTGCTACATTGAGTGCTTTGAGCGTCCCCACTATGTAATGAAAAGACTCAAGATCATTGTTCCTCGTTTTGAGCACATCCTGTGTAAAAACAATCAAATGGGGACAATAACCCATAAGCTAATGTGATTACCTCGAATATGCCGGATAGTCGCCTGGTATCGCTTTCATTCCAATAGGAGTTGAGTGAAATCGCTGATACGCATGATAATGCTACCATAAAGATGGCTGGATGCATTGCAACTAGTCCGCTTCCAGCTCCCGGGACTCGAATCCCACTAGCTAGTGAACGACTTATGCTGACGTGGCCTTCGTTGATTGTAGAAGGCTCAAACCTATTTTATCCTTTAAACAAATAATATTCTTCTTATCTTAGGCCGCACACCCTTGAGGAATAAAACAGTGCAAATAAACCGCACACAAAATCTATTTTTGCAGCTGAATTCGATTGTTGCTGTTTTAGTCATCGACTTTAACTTGTGTCAAAAGCAAGTGTGATTTTTCATCCCTTTCCGTTCAATGTGTCAAAAGCGCATTCCCTTTTTGTAGGCAGTCTGCGTCGCAAAGGTCTTGCGCCACGCTCGCGAGCATGTGTCTGGGCGCATTGCCACTCAGTTACACTCGAGTAGACTTTCCACTCAATATTGTGCTTTTGCGGTGCCGAGATTTTGCGGTGAAATTTGCGCGTGAGCAAATGGCAGTAACGCTAGTTATGCCGGCATTTTGCGCGCGCAGCTGGCCGATTACTGATGTAGCTGCTTTTTCACGCACAAATCCTACCGCAACATCATCTCGGCACCGCAAGCGCACTATATTTAGCGAAAAATCTAATACTAGACTGTGTAGATGATAGATAGCTGCCGGATCAATTTCTTCCGATAGATCAGGCACTGAGCTTGTGTAAATACTGCTCTTCCAATATTCTCCTTTTCAGGGTTTGTAAATGTTTTTTGTTGCAAATGTTGTATTTCAAAACCATGCCCAAACCATGCACTCGCAATTCGCAGCGCCTTCACAGAGTGGATGAGTAGATACTACGCAAAGAGGTTCCGCCATCAGACAATATTACCCTATTTTCCGGAGTATAAGCCGCATTTCTTTTCACCGCGCGCGGGCGGAAATGCGATGTTGTTCGCGATGCGCGAAGCCGCACAAGCAGCAACTACTATCTATTTCGCGTGGTAATCTAATACGGACTTTCTGCTTTCGTTCTTTATTTGGTTTCTTCGCAAGTGTATTGTTTGTAACAAATTTCTCTACCTTCTCATTTATTCTTCAAGAACCTGCTGAACAATAAAAGAACGTTCGAATACCAGTAGTAACATGGAATCGAAAGGTGATCAGGGCTAAACCAGTAAATCAAAATAAAAGAAAACAACTTCAGCACTAGTAACATCATTGGAAAAAGGAAAGCATAGTCAACCAGTAGTATCATTTAGGAAAGAAAACACAACCTAAACACCCTCAAAGTCATATGAAACAAGAAAAAAAGTGAAAGCATGACTATCCATACTAGAACGCACCAAGTTTTCAATTTGCTATATAGCTCTTTTCAAAGGCGCTTTCGCGCAATTGTTCGCTGCGGCGGGTGCGGCTTAAACTCCGGAAAATAGGGTACTTCTTCAGCCATCGTTCGGCTGTTTTACAGTAATATAGGCGTCGATTTATTTGTCAAAAGTGTTACGGAAACGTCACACATTCGACGCCTATCTGCGCAGCGCATGGAATTTATCCTCATGATCGACACAGCAAAGATGAATGGATTGACGTAGGATGCCTTCTTCAAAATTCGACCAAACAGTTCGAATTTACTCGATTTGACTGTTTTAATAGGCGTTTGCAGTTGTCGGAGTTCAACAAAGTCCATCTTTTCAGCTTCCGAAGTCTGCACAGCAAAAGTGTACGTGACTGTTTGCTTTTTGCGCATAAGAAGTAAATATTTGCACATGTAAACAGCCTTCAGATTACGTTGTCATTTTCTTTCGAGCTTGAAATCCTACCAAATTCTCGTCGTAAAGGTCTATGGAGTCTCCAATCTCATGAGCCAAAGGCTGCCAGTCATTTTTATAACGTTTACCTTCATGAGTTGCTGATGCAGAGGTAGTATAACTCTTTCTAATGGAGATTAATGCTTGTCCGTGAGGGGTATCAATATAAGATTAGTCTTACTAAGAGACAGAAACCTATTGTTACCATGGAAGATTCTTTAGAGACACTTTTTTTTGACAACAGCAAAAAAGGAAGTGTGTAGGAAAAAGTATACAAAAGCACGCTCCTTGAGGCAGCCATGAAGGAGCAAAGACAAGCCCCAAACATGCAAAGCTGTGAAAAGGATGAAGGAAACGGACAAAGCATGCACTCTTTTACAGCTGTCATTAGTTCTGAACGATTGCTCTTGAGTAAATGAGCTAAGTGAGCTTTCAAATTCCAGCTCTCCTCTACTCAGTTTTATATTATATATGCTTTACGTATGCTTGTAGAATGGTGGTATAAGACTAAGTAAATCTCTGCATCTTTCGAGCGATCTTTCCTTGAAGGTGGAGTACATATATACTTGGAAGTAAAACTCAAACACGTGAATGCTGTGGACAAGTCACATGGAGTAGAGCAAACTCTTGCAAACAACACTGATAAGTGTAGAAGCTAACAGCACCGATTAGAGCAGAGGCTAGGCTTTGAACCATAACGACATCCCCACAGCTGTGCTACAGTTAATGCGTGTCAAGCCACTGAATAGAGAAAGTACTTTCGACTAATAACAACAATGACCAGTCCGCGTTACAAAGTTTGCAAGTGACTGACAAGAAGGTAGTATTGCATACTACATGTCCAATCATGAAGTAATCATTCAAATTATGAATAACGTAATCTTCTAGGAATTTGTAAGCTATGCGATTTCAAGCAGTTCAGAAACCTATAGAATCAGAATTGCGTTTGAGATATATCTTATATATAAAGCTGAATGTCTGTTTGTATGTATGTCTGTCTGTCTGTCTGTACTCAGACATTCGCGGTTGTCACCCGCAGGTTAAAATGGTGTGATCTCATTGACCAACGGCGCGTCACACGAAATCGGTGTCGGGGCAAAATCAGGTCACCTGTGTTTGCAGCGGGGTGACCTGCGGGAGACACCATAATGCCCCGACAGGGCATTCTCCGGTCATTATCAGAGTGACCTGCGGGAGACACCATAATGCCCCGATCCTTAAAGCAGCGGTTCACCCTGATGGGTACATATATAGTGGTATATATATTGGTATTAAGTATATAGTGGAACACACAAGTATAGAGTACATACTCTATATTGGTGTGTTTCACGTCTACCGCGCTGTCATCTTTCACTGTCCCTAACAAATCAAGCCATAGTATTTATTTAAAAACTTCATGGTACAGAAAAATCTACATCAGCGCAAAATCAAATAAACTACATCGAGAGAACACTTGACAAAAAACAAGTGGAATTGGACTAATGTGTGTCGTTCGCATCGGTTACTGCAATGTCGGCGTCCGTTTTTTCGATGATGTTCAAGTCAGTGCTCACGTTAGATGTCCTGGGCCGGTTCTTCTGAAAAACATCAATATCAGATGCGTAAACGTTTTGAGACGAAAGTTTTACCTTTGACGCCTTTGTCGCATTCTTGTGCAGAATGTAGAAGTTCTTTGTCCGGTAGACTACAAGCGTCCAATACAAACCGTGAATAAATTATTCGAATTGATGTACAAAATGACGGAACAACCTACTTATTAGGAAATCCACAGTGCTTTCTGGGAGACTTGAATGGTCATTTTTTTCCTTTTTTGCCAGTTTGCCTACATGCATACTTTTGAGTTCCTCTGCCGGTTCACAAGTCCAAAAAATTATGTGTAAGGCAAGAATTCGTTTAGCAGTGATCCCTTGCATTGACGAAATAGTGCGAAAATCAAAAATATGATGAAAATGCAGAAAATGATCATGTTTATGTGCGCAAGCCGATCTCTTCCGTTTTAAGATTCAGTCAAATTCAGCTCCTAAAAATACGATGCCTTTCGTTAATTCATTTCATATTCAAAAACCTCAATCGGGCTGGGTTTAAAAAAGCAGACTTTCTTTTTTCGGTTATACAGACAAGAGCAATTGTGGGACTATGATTGAGCGAGTTAGAAAGCTGAATATCATTTTTTCCGTGTTTGAAAGATGGGTTTTGACAACTGCGATTTCTTCTTTTCGGTGTGGATTGTTGCCTCATCATGCCAAAATTCAAACAGCTTCTGATACTCGTTAATTTCGAAAAATTGCGGGTTTTCGGGTTACAACGGCTGGTTAATTAAAATTTGAGCTAGATCACTTTTAAGTAAGGAACGAAGTCAGAAAGGACCACAATGGAACAAAAGAATGTGGAGAGGACGACTACCATCGAAACATGTATAAAATAGAGCAAAGAATGGATTTTTGGCAGCCCATCAAACTTCATGTGAGCCATATTTGAACAGGCAGGATTTCGCCTTCTAACTCGCCCGTTCTTGATCCCACAAATTCTCTTTCTGGTCTATCTGCGAGAAAAAAGGCCCCTCTTTCAAATACGGACCATAGACTTGCCAAAAAGTGACCCAACGAGAGCCGTGGACGAAAGTCCGCAAAAAACCATTGCATGCATTGTGGAAATTTCTCTGAAGAGAATAAATTCTCTTATCAAGGCCGGAAGCCAGAGCCATAGCTGGTCATTTGACTAGCTATGGCTTTGCAGACGGAAATTCAAAGATCTGATGGGGTACGGGTACCATACGTGCATTTTACACCCAGATTTAGCTCTTTGTTTCCTGCATGAAAATAAATTTGAGTAAATTTTTTTACACAGCAGCAGTCCATATACGGCTGCAGCCGGTCTTACTTCTGTGAAACTGCGAAGACAAGCTATGGAAAAGCCCATTCGCAGGAGAAATTTTCTTATAAAAACACATTTTTCGAACTATGACAATAATTCGGGCGCTAAACTGTTTTCTTTTTGCTGGAAAAGTATTGTGTCATAAGGATTTTCTCGTAAAATGACGTGCAAATTTTTGTTCTGCACGTGTCAGCTTGAAGCTACCCACAATAAGTAACGGATAGTATAAGTTACATGTTTTGACAGATTTTAGCTAGCTAGCGACGCCTCAACGGTTTGTTGAACCCGACACAAGATTACGATATTTCAAGTTTGTTTAAGCTTGTAGTTGGCTTGAAACTTAGTCAAATCAGCCTTGTGGTTAACAATTTGAGTCTAAGCTCACAAAATTGCACTCCGCAAATTTGCTGAGTTGGAAGGAGTCCTGAAGTAACCTACTGAATTGAGAAGAAAATGCTTACCTTCGATCTACAACGCCGCGCAGAGATTGCAGGTGAAGTTGCCATTTTGGACGCGCGATCTCATCTGAACTGACAAACCGTCAAATCGATGTCCTACGGAAACGGTGACCTCACTTTTACTGATGTGCTGGTAAAATTAAGGAAAAATAATAAGCGAAATTGAATCAAAAGGCACCATTAAGTATGATTAAGATAGAGTAGGTTTGGTATAATGACAAGTTTATGTCATGAAAGAACACAAATGATCCCAAGGAGCGATTATAAGCGATGTATAAGAAAGAATGAAAGCAAAAACATTGAAGAAAAAGGCACCAATCAACAAAAAGCAATCACCAAGAGAAGACGACTATTTCGCAACATCACTATCATACACGCATGCGGCGTGCATTGGGGCAAAATCGCAGTAAAATCCGGTCAAAACTAAATTCATGTCTCCCGACGGTGCACCGGGTTTTGGTGCGATCAGCCATTTTGTGGGCGGTCCACCTGCGGGTGACAACGGCGAATGTCTGAGTATGTCTGTCTGTCTGTACGTATGTTCCGAATAGAAAATTCCATTTCTGAACCGATCCGGACCAAACTTGGCACACATACACTACGGGCCCCGGCGGGTGTCATAGGCTACTTTTCGTCATCGATCGATATCGATTTTATCGATTTTTATCGATTTTTTTGCTGAGTTCACCTACGGGGCTGGGAGTTGGCACAGGGGGGTAATCGAGCATGGGGATTCCGAATACAATATTGGTTTTCAGGATTATCGATTACTTTTATCGATTTTATCGATTTTTTGCAAAGTTTGAGCTACGGGGCTGGAAGTTCGCACAGGGGGGTAATCGAGCATGGGGATTCCGAATACAATATTGGTTTTCGGGATTATCGATTACTTTTATCGATTTTATCGATTTTTTTGCAAAGTTTGAGCTGGGGGGCTGGAAGTTGGCACAGGGGGCCAATCGAGCATGCTGATCATCCCCAAGGGGGGTGATCAGCATGCTCGATTACACCCCTGTGCCAGATTCCAGCCCCCTAGCTCAAATTTTCAAAAAATCGATAAAATCGATAAAAGTAATGGACGATCTTGAAAACTAATATTGTATTCGTAATCTGCATGCTCGATTACCCCCCTGTGCAAACTCCCAGCCCCGCAGGTCAAACTTTACAAAAAAAATCGATAAAATCGATAAAAGTAATCGATAATTCTAAAAACTAATATTGTATTCGGAATCCCCATGCTCACTTCCCCCCCTGTGCCAACTCCTAGCCCTGTAGGTGAACTCTGCAAAAAAGTCGATAAAAATCGGTAAAATCGACATCGATCGATAACAAAAAGTGGACTGTGACACCCGCCTGGGCCCGTAGTGTATGTGTGCCAAGTTTGGTCCGGATACGGCGGAGCCGGGTAAGCCAGCTAGTATATATATATATATATATGGGCGTCAGCACTCGTTCTCAAGAATCCTCCAAACTATGTTTGTTTAATTTGATACTAACAAGCACCCAAATACTTGAAAGCGCAGACTACTTCGGCCATCCCATTGTTTTTATCTTTTATAACACTAAACGAAACATTTTTCGCGCACTGCCGCTACCGGGTGGAGGAATGAACACCTCAATTAGGCACCGCCTCCGCGGACTACTAGTCCCAACACGATGCATAACAGTAGGACGAAAGGACCAGCAGCCCGCGGAGGCGGTACCTAATTGAGGTGTTCGTTCCTCCACCCCCGCTACCCGATGAAATAGGCGTCAAGTATGTGACGTGCGCAACACCGCTTGCAAATGAAGTGACGACTATAATACTGTAAGATGGCCGAACGATGGCTGTAGTGTATACTATGAAACTTTTAGGACATGTCGCTACTCATTTTGGAACAAACTGTGATCTAGGTAATTGCCGAGGAACGATGGATTTACAAAATATCCAAAGTCCACCTTCGAATGGCACAAATGTCATTCGGACCTTTCCCATCATAAAGCCGGCGATTTTCATCTCCTTCAGCACAGTTTCTTTTATAAAATGAAATGGTACGCAAAGCTTGTGACACATTGAGCTAATCACACAATGGCACCTAAGTGAATTTTCCGGATGGAACCTTTCTCATCCCAAGCAACATCTGGTCATTTGTAGATAATTCATAATCGCGGTCATGTTTACTGTTCCGCGCTTCTGTCTATAATGTGGGGACTGTCATATTTGATAGTCCAGCTGTAGTAATAAGAAAGCTGAGTAATCAAAGAGGCAAAACAATTTCGTCTTTAATGATTTGCAATGACCATGCAAAACAATCTGTTGATATGATGATTATCACTGAACGCAATAGGCTTTAGACTCAAGCAGATAAACTGTGTTTTATCTTTTTTCTAGAGAAAAGCCAACTATTAAGATCAGGAAACCAATCCTTCTCACACTACATCTACAAATCTGAGAGATTAAGTAATCGCTCTAACAGCGAACTACACTTCATTTGCGAAGAATGCTTCCACAACTCTATTATTTATTCTTTACAAAAATACAGAACATGGAACGTTAGGAAAAGCCACATACCGGGGTCAAATAGCCATAAAGCGAATGACCGGATGTTGCGAAACTAGTAAACAGATTGCTGGAAAATGAAAGCGAAATGATCTTAGACCCAGCCGGAAAGAAATTGGTATCTATAAATAAATAAAACATTTGTTTAACAATATCCATCGACATTGACCACACAGGGAACCTTAAACATACTCATCGGTTCTCCATGAGATTAATAAGATGGAGTATTGTAATGTGAGAAAAACTAACAACTCCAAAATGGTGAATAATCTTTAAAAGAAAAAAACACGCAAGGTTAGACCCCGCTATGTGAGCAATTCATTTCCTCACAGCATGGGCTATCTACAACGGAACGAACGAACGAACAAAACCCAAGTTTTGTTTTACCCCAATCAGAGATCGACAACACCGCAGTGTTTGCGCGAAAGACGACAACCACACGGTATCGATATAACGAGAATCGCTTACTGTCGCTCACATTCGCTCGCCTGAGGCGGCGGAAGTAAGTGACAGCGACGGCGATGGCAGAGGAAGCCGCGGCACGATTGATGCACCCCTCAACATCTGAGCTATTCAAATCCAATGACTTATAAGAAACAACGAATTATGCAAGACTACGCACACACTCACGCACGCAAAAATTACCAAGAATATACGATTTGGGAAGTTTGCGGATAAATATGAGGCGGAATGTCAGTGTTGCATGAAGTGACGAAGAAGGTGGGTTAGGTGAACATTGGTGAAACGATCAAGAGGTAAAACTCGCACATGGAGACTGTCTACAAATCAAAGAGGTATCAGGACTCTAAACTAAAGACTCATAAAGCAATGCTGAGGCATGAACTGCACTGGTATCACTAGTAATATGGAACCCGACTACGAATTGCATCAATGCGCACATCTGTGGTTCCCTTCCGCTTCTGTAGCAGAGTGGCACCAATTGCTGTGCTTTAATTGTAGCGACGATTGCCTGTTGGATAGCGTCCTCCGCCTCGACCCTGCCAAGAACATAATTGGAAACTAATGAATTAACTGACAATGTGCATACTCTGAAAACTACATTAACTGCGTCCAGAGTTCCCTATAAGCCAGCGCCATTCCGGTGCCAACGTCCCGTACTGATCGGGATGGCGCTAGCACATCAACTCTGAACGCAGTCTTGAGCCTAAAGCAAACCTCACGGCCCATATCGCCACCTCCACGAGACTTGGCGATTTGCCAGATATCTACGAAATAGTTGCACTGCTCACAAAAGCATAGGCGCGTAGCTTTCGCACGTTGCAAACGGATGAAGTTTTGACCAGACAAAGCGCGTTTATGATCAATTAAGAACAATCGTTGCAGTGCTGAATCGCGAGCGACTCGTATGAAGTATGCCTTAGACTTTGGGACAGAAAGCCATTACCAGAATGGATACAGATAAAGGAGAGAAAAAAACATAAGAAGTTTTAAATTTGTAGTATTAGCTCTGGGAACATAACTTCTTGCGCAAACCTACTCACCTGATGATAACCCCCTCCTCTTCCTCGATGTCCAGGATTTCTATAACCGCCGCCATAGCCTACATTCTCTCGTCTCTCAAAAACTATGGGTTTGTTATAATTCGGATTCTGCCGTGGTGGAGCAGTATGAGCTATGCGTGGAGCATCACTTACTGGCTCTCCGACTAAAAATTGAATGGAAAGTTTGGAAAATTCGTATTAGCAAACTTCTCCACTTACTGGATTGCTGCGTTTTTAAGGGGCAAAACACAGCGGAATGAGAGTTATCACCGGTTGCTCCGCATAGATTACATGTGCGTTTACGCAGTTCAGGACATGTAACTTTACCATCTGCTGCGCGTATGCTAAAATGTATTAATCATTACAGAAGCAAGGGTAAATCATGAGTGTATAAATCACTTACACATGCGAAGTGCAGACCTCCTCGGACTTTCCCAGACTACGGCAGAAGGTGCAGTCAAGCTTTATGGGGCTTGCAGAATCAGCTGTTGGCAACGTCTGAACAGCAGCCGGTGGGTTTGACTCCTTGATCCGATAGTCCATGCTCGGTTTTTCAGGCACATCCTCCTCATTCAGTTCTTTTTCTTTCTGCTGAACAACTTCAGCCTTTACCGATACAGTGGGTGCAACGGCCACGATAGGAACAGCGGCACGCTTCTCGGGGTCAGTCTTCGCGACTATAAATCAAATATTTGAGTCATAGAAAATAAAAAGAGATGGAGCGTAGAGGTTAATTAGTCCCACATTTACCCGCAAGGGGAAGTAGCTCCTTCGTCGGCTTTGGTTCCTCAGCTTTCTTTTCAGCTTTAGCTTCAGCAGCCAAAGGAGGTTCTTCTTGTTCTTCCTGGGACTTCTGCTCTTCTTCATCTCGCTTCTCCTCCACCTTCTCGTCCTTTTCAAGACGCTGTTGCTGCTCTTCAGCTTCTGCTTCCGCATTACTGGCTTCTTCAACTTTTATTGTGAGGTCTTCTACTTCAGCAGTGACTACAGAAACGACGTCGGCTTTGGGTTCGTCTTTCACAGACTCAATGACAGAACTCTGCCGAGAAAATGTCAAAGGCGAATGATTCTGCAAGTATACAATTGTCAAATAAGTAGCGAAACATAAAATGTTGCAAGGTATACCTTGTTCCTATTATGGTAGGGTGGCGGACCGCGGAAACTATTATTCCTCGAATTTCTACCTGTGACGAAATTTGCTAGTTGCGGCAATGTACCAATAAAATGACTTACCTCGACTAGGGGACTGCAGCATATGTGGCACTCCAAACGGAGGAGCCACCATGAATGGTGGGGCCAAAGTCCCTGGATGGAATCCATACATTCGAGGAGATGGTCCATAGCCGGACGGCTGCGTCACAAGTGGAGGAATCGACGCAGTTGCGCTGCGCGAGTCATGCATTGAAACTTGTGGAGGTTGTTGCATCATTCCCATCATTGGTTGCATCCCAGCAGGAATTCCAGGAGGCATGCTCATCGGTCGCACCGGCTAAGAAAATGGTGCGTGCTCAACAATTTCAAGTTATAGGGAACTAGCCACCTGGACTGGGGCAGATGATGGTCCAAACTCTTGCTCTCCATACTGATCCATCCCCATGGCTGATTGTTGTTCCATGACGCCTTGCTGATCTAGAATAGCCGCTTTCACATATATCAGTAAACTCATCCAGAAAAATCTATCTTTATGACACCAATCGCCAAGAATACTGATTAGTCATATTATTCAAGGAGAAGACCATGAGACTTGCATTGTGACTGGTCATTTGTGTGACTCGGGGGCATCTGGTGAACCACAAACGGCATTGGTACCATAACAGGTTGTGCCTGTTCCATTGGTGCATAGCCCATGTCACCGCGAGGTACAAACACCGTCTGAAATTTGGAGCCTCAATAGTGACTGGAATTAGCAAAACAGGCCTTCCAAGCTTCGGCTGAGAAAGGCAGTATCCACTTTCACACGCAGGCAGTGCATAAAGCTGTGGCTCTATCTGATGTAAAACTATGTATCTGCTAGCGCGCCACCACCTTCACGCCCTTTCTGGCGTAGCTGAATGCTCTTTGACAAAAAAGTGAAAATTTGAAGTCGTAAGAGGCTAAATAACCATCGGTAACATCAATAACAAACCCACCAAACATTTAAGGACGGTAAAAGTAAGAGAGATAGATTAGTTAGCAATGATTCTTATGATATGCATGGCATCTACAACGAAGCAAAACTCTATAATCCTACTTACCGGTCGCTGCATATAGACACCAGGTGGATATTGTGCACCAGCCGGAATCACTTGTTGGCCGATATACTGGGGAGCCATCATCTACAAATATCAAATTAGTTTCAGTGGACTTTCATCGAGTTTCCACAACGTGCATGCCTGAAAATATCTCACAACCTGAGGGTGTGGCACGGGCACTATAAATTGGCCTCCACCTCGCTGTTGTACCGTCACAACAGCTTGCGGAGGCGGCCCCATAGGTGGAGGTGCTTGATGCTGCATTTGTGGATCTTGTTGCTGTATAGGTTGCCCACTGTAAATTGGAGGCCCGTTTGCGCTTTGTACCTGGAGAGATTAAGGTTTGCATCACAACAGACTTTCATAATTCGGTAGTACGGTCATACCTGATATGGTATGGAACTTGGAGGGGGCTGGTTGGGAGAGTAATACTGCGGGACACCCTGCTGCAGCTGATGTGGCATAGGCTGCGTCGAGTGGACGGCCTCTCCTTCGTATCCCGATGGGAGCGGAGGAACGGGACGTTGCATACCCACACTACTAATTCCACCAGCTCCTCCCATTCCTGCTACAAGTAAAGTTCATACTTCGTGTAAAACAAATGAAAGTCTCTACGGAGAGTTGAGATGAGGATCAATCGAAAACATCCCCGGCAGACAATGGCCCGTATGTAAACCGTGGTCGCAAGGTGCCATCCTGAGGCTTTATTTACCGCATAGGCGCAAGCCTATGCGGTAAATACCTCAGGATGAATTAGCGACAAATGTGGGAGAACAAATTTTATGCAACCAGCTTTTGTGTCCTAACATTCTCTAAAAACTAACCGTAATACCCCGAGATCTGCGAATAGCTTAGCCCAGGATTGCCTTGAGTTGGGCCACCAGCAGGAGGAGGCATCATTCTGGGGGCACCAGAGTCTTCATAACGACCACTAGGTGGATGACTCTGACTCATCATCATATTTTGCGCCTAAATTGACTGGCATATAATGCATAGCAAGAAGTAAAGTGTTTTGACATGGATTACTTGTAGAGGCAAAAATGGAAGAAACAGGAAGATCATTCCTCTATCGTGATACTAGAAATAAAAAACAAGACTCAATGTCACCTACTCGATTGTACACCATGGGATCCCCAGTCATCGCAGAGGGATCAGCTTCATAGCGGCTGTTTCTCTGATAGGGTGAAGGACCTTCGTAGGGTACCTACAAATATATATGATCACTCGGTGGTAAGAACAAAGAATAACTTTCATTGCGTTTAACAGTAACCAAACCTTCTCTTTATCGAAGTTGCCTTCACACTGCCCTAAAATGAAGCAAATAAACAGAAGAAGCATTCGTGACTCATTTCGTTGTCCCACTCACCATACGCACCGGGACCTACTTGGTGATGAGGACCACCAACCCCGCCGCCATCTTGTGAAATGAACTGAGGATGGGGAGGAGGATGAGCCTAGAATAATGGTTCTGATCAGTTCATATGAGGCTTCATCATAGGGACAGTCAAGTGGAAGGACGCAAAAGGTTATTCATGTGAGGTTTCGTTTTACGCGAGAATCATTTCCAAGAACTAACCATACGATGTTCACAACACAGATAAGAAAAACATGAATCACTTTCGTCAACAAGTGGTTATTTTTGAGTGAAAGTTCAATGAAAACAAGTGAAATGAACGACGATGACTCACGAATCCTGGTGGAGGAACACGACGCTCCTGATGTCGCATTTGATCATCAGCTCCCAGTCCAGAGTCCGGGGTAGTTCTGTAAAGTTCTAAATAATTGTGTTCCAGAAACTCGATCGCGGGCAGCACGCGAACTGAAACGGAGAATTCAACAGGGGAGAATGGAGCTAATAGATACCGCCCGATTACCGAAGCAACTAAGTCGGAAAAGTGAGGGAAATCTAGAGAATAAAAGAATCATAAAAATAAGTAGAAATAGTAGCAAACACGAAGCTACCGAGTGGTTGTTGGCTGTGAAGGAAGTACCGCTCCATAATCGAGCTGAGATTGGGTGCCCGGACGTACCAAAGGTGTTCCGGACATGATCTGAAACGAATCTATCAAACATGGTCAGTTTCTGTCAATATGGAATCCATCTCGAATGCAATCGAAGGAATGACAGGCAATTACATGTCTACACACAAAAGTACCCCCAACGAGCGAGAGTAGATTGTGGCTTATGGAGAGTTGCATAATAAATGGGTAAGAGCAAAAAATATGTGCCGGCGCCAAGCAGGTCAGTTTTGCACGTCATGCATAACTTGTCGAAGGTTTAGGCATTATTGGTGCCAAATTTGGTTTTAGAAGTCAAATGCAATAACTAAATGCTCGGGATACCTATCAAGATTGAGTAAAAACGTGGAAAGGAAAACATGCAGCATCGAGATGGCACTCTAAGTGAACGAGAAAATGAAGTGGAAAAAATGCAAAATGAAGTCGCCATAAACTTACATAAAAACATCGAAACGAAGCAGCGTAAACATAAATAGTTTTGTAGTAGTATTTCACTCTACAGATTGCGCTTTGCTGAGGCATACGGCCATAGTTGGTATCCAGACGCAGTCAAAGTTTGAGCTGCGTCCACTGCAGCGGCGCGGTTTCACGAATTGTACATTTAGCTCAAGCTCACAAATCGATATAGCACTAAGGACTATGTATCTCCAGCCAATATGCTTTGCGCACCAGATGAAGAGGTTCAAGGAAAATGACAAGCAATACGAGTGACAGTTGAAACAACAAACAAGGGTGTTTACCACGATCGCATCTACATAAACTGACGTAACAAACAACACGAGAAAGTGCTTGTCTCTCACTTCAATGAATACCAACCAGTAGTAAACTAGTCTATGCAAAAACTTCACGTACTTGTGAAGTTCACTTTCTTGGTAGTTCACGCTTCAGCCTGATACATTGCGCAATGAATACGCAACGCAATAATATGAAGTTCAAGTACCAGGATAGGATGGAACTGCAACAGAGCAAGAAAGCTCAAAAAATCTTTACTGGAGTGTATCTTTTGCAAAAAACCATGCAATATTTCAAAATTGAAATTTAAAGCTTTCGAACAAAGTGCATCCCAAACATGAAATAACATAAGGGACAAAAATAGGGGAGCAGCTGATCTGCGGCACTAAAGAAAATGAAAGAAAACGAAAAGAGTTTTCTTGCTTACCCTTTCGAAAGAAGACCAAGGAGTTTTTATCAACGTAAGCAGCGAAAGCATTACATCATGGCAAACAAAACGCGTTTCACAAGGTCAAACGGGTAAAATCAGGTCAAAGACACCGTAAAAGAGAAAGCGCCCCCCAAGAAAATTCCCAAAAATGACCTGAGCTTCGTGACCGCTGACCTAATCGGCTGTCCCATCACGGGCAATCCCGGCGAGGTATCGCCGGCGCGAAACGTGCCGGCATTGATCGCGTCGCATGGAACACCGGAGTGGTCGACGGTCGCCGTGGTCCACGAAGAGCGATTGGCAATGTTTGATGTAGAAAGTCCTTATTTAGTGAAATCTAAGCTAATTATGACTTCAGAAATTTTTCGGATTGCTCGTAGAGAAATAGGTAGTCAAAACTGCACTCATTTCACACTTAAACTGATCAGCGCAAAGTTTTTGGTGAAAGTAATTTTCGCTTACGAAGTCTTTAGGGAACAATATCTTCAGTATTTTTGACCAAGATCATTTTGACGTGAATTTCTTCCTTCTACAAACTTCTGCTTCGCCGAATAGGTCATGACCCCAGGGTCCTCCTTGATCATCCTCGCTTCTTGTCATACTTCCTCTGTCCTTTTTTCTTATCAAAAGCTAAATAAACTGAATCTTATCAGTCGTAAAGTGCAAGCAAAAACATGCCAGACAGAAAAAACAACATCAATGCGGCGATCTTCGCGCGTCGCGTGTACGAGATAAGACGACGCTAAAATGCAACTGTCATCAGTAGCTGCGTTGGAAGCTATTGAACTTTTTCGTATGTGAAAAAATAAATTGACTACTGTTGTAATAGGTCATGCGAACTTTTGCTTCGTGCTGCTAGAGACAGTATTTTTGCTAAATGTGCAATGAAAAGTTTCCTGTCAAATTTGCTGTTCATTTGGATGCAACCTCACAATTATTCATTCGTTGTGAGTTAAGATAACGAATTCCACTCATCAATGATTTGTTCTATTCGGTGCAAGGTAGAAGTTAGGTTATTAGACTAGCGCAGCACTTTTGATCCACGCAAAAACATCTTCTTAAACTCTTGATTTTTTTTATTTGTGAGCTCCCATCATTGCTCATGCACAAACGCCCTTTCTCGCCATCTGGCAATCCATAATACTTTTCATTTTGTTTGCCTGCTTACTGTTTGACCTGTTTCTTTTCTTTCATATCTCATTCACAAGCAAAATCGACCCCTTTTACCATAAGTGTACTGTGTGGATGGCGTCCGTTGCATTGCAGAAGGTTCTTTTGAATGCGATGAGTGCTAAGTAGCCCTTGTCAAAGCAATATCTGAGGGACTCGTCTACTTCGCCGAAAGAAGCCCAGAAAAGCTCAAAAAAGTTCAAAGAAGCCCTAAAGAATTGAAACGCCCTTTCTGTTTTGACGCCTGCACATCAAAATGATGTCAGAATTCTACCAGAAGTTCATTTCTGCGTTCCGGCTCTTTCGGGCGCTTTTAGGCTTTTCTCGGCGAAGATTGACGGGTCCCTGATATTATGGTCATTAAATATTGGTCTTTCGATGTTTTGGGAACCAGTTGGCTGTAGGCTTTTCCACTCAAATTTGACCGTATCAACACCGTAACGTAACCTCTCTCCAGAAAACATGGCATGAGGAAATGTGTGCAGAGTTGTTGCAAAATCTTTGGCCTGAAGTTTGGATTACATCATAAATTTTGTGAAGTATCCTCAGTTATCCTCGTGTCTATGTGCCTTGCACACGTCTGCATTTTGAAGCTTTTGATTATCTTCGATCTCTCTTGGTATCCTTCTTGTGTATTGTTATCTTTGCAAACCATGTTCCGTGTAGTCCCTATATCACCTTTGTCTTCCAACGCACGCCGTACCTCCTCGCAGGAAAACCAGAGCGAACCTGGGCAAGCTTGAAAGATCGAGTCCACTAACAAGGGAAGGATAGTTGTATGCCGCGGCCATTCCTAATGATTTGTATACCAAAAAATGCGCTTTCAAATGCAGATTCTGAATCTGTGCTCGAAATCTGCGAAACGGTCTTTTGAAGAAAGTTATGAACTTTTTTCCTTGAAAATTTAGCCTACTTTTGGATAGTAAAAATCACCAGATTTGATCTAGCCTACCGTTTGATGCTACTGAAGAAAATTTTAGGCGTAGTAATATTCATTTAGACTACCTGGATCATACTCAGCATTTGGAAAGGAGAGAAAATTTTTTATTGATGATTTTGACCCTCCCCAGGAACGCAATTTTTTAATGAAAAAAAAATCATAACTCCATTCAGATTATCGTTTCGCAGATATGAAAGACAGTCTACGAACCAGCATTCAAAAGCGCATTTTTTGGTATACAAATCATTATGAATGTCTACGGCATCCAAGTATCCTTCCCCTGTAAGTTGCCACATAATCCTGGGAAGTACAAAGCCAGGAAAAAGAAAGACCAACCGATAAACGTGATGGCTGGAATGACAAAGTGCAAGTCATCAAGGAGAACAGGGTTGCGTACAAGCGATGGAATATTATATGAAGTCTGAAGATCATCAGACGCCAACAAGCCAAACACGCTGCATAGGTTTTTGTGAAGAAGGCAAAATAAGTGTAAATGAGCTCTCGTGCAAGTGGAGACTCGCGAGAAAGAGATTGTGAGATTTACTGGATAGCAATAAGGAGAGCGGAGTTTACAAAAGATGTGAAGCATTTCTTTCGGATAGGGGAACGAAAGCCGCCAGTTTGAGCCGCGTTTCGCGGCCAACTGGTCCTTTCGCAGTGTTGTTGCATGTCGTCCCAGAACCAGCAGTCCGCGGAGGCGGCCCAAACTGGCGGCTTTCGCTCCCCTACCCATTTCTTCCAAACCGCTTGATAGGACGCTAAGAAAACCAGAGACATCACCAAAAGACTACTTGAAGAGACCGAAGAAATGGCCACCACAACCGCACCGTCAACTTCATCCCCAAAGCTATAGCACGATCAGTACCATCAATCACTATCAGCAATCGTATCAGCTTCCATATCAAAGACAAACTTGGTAGGGTGCTGAGAAAACCAGAGGACATTACCGAGAGATGGAGAACTACTTCGAAGAATTGGCCAACACAGACCGCACCATAAACTCCATCCCAGAAGCTAATCCCATAGAAGGATTAGTACCGGCAAACACGGAAGAGGAAGTATGGTAGCCATAAGAAGAACAAAGAATTGCAAAGCGACTGGCCCAGACGACATACCTGGAAAATATCTGGACAATCCGAGGCCACATGGCTAACGAGTCTCTTCAATCAAATCATAAGGAGCAAGAGTATGCCTTGCGACTGATACACCAGCACGACGACCCCGATATGGAAGAACAGAGGAGACGTAGCAGACTGCGCATCCTACAGACCAACACTATAAACTCTTCGAGAGAACAATCGAAACGCGTCTTCGAGATTATAATTGTAACGAACAAAAATTTTCGCCGAATGAACGAATATTGAATAATCAGTTTTTAAAATTTTTTCGAACGAATGAATGTCGAATAATTGATTTTCGAAAATTTTTCGAACGAATGAATATCGAATATTCGTTCATTCGAAGATTCTTCGAATGAACGAATATTACTCGACTTTCGATTTTCATTTTATTCGAATTTGAATATTCGAATATTGGCATATTCCAAAATTCGAATAAACGAATACTTGAATAACCGAACTTGATCGAATTGCAGTATTCGAATATTCGAACAACTATCTTTTAAAACTACTCGCATGAATGAATATTCGAATAACCTTTATTTAAAACTCGTCGAATGAACGAATATTCGAATAAGTCATTTTTCGAAATCGTCGAATGAACGAATTATTCGAATATAGGCCTTTCTCATTTATTCGACTATTCGAATAATCCAATAAATAGACTTTCTCAAATATTCGACTATTCGAATATTTCAATAGTCGAATATTTCGAATAAATTATTCGAACACGAATATTCGGTGCTAACTATATTCGAGATATCGTAGAGTTGTCACCGAATCAGTGCGGATTCGTCAAAGTAGTAGGTACAACCGACGCAATCCGCTCCGCTCGATTAGTAATGGAGAAGTATAGAGGGAAGCAGAGGAAATTGCATGCAGCCTTTCCGGACCGGAGAAAGCTTTTAAGGTGTTCATGAAGTCATGTGGTAAACCTTACGGAAACACTTGGTGTCGAAGGGAGTACGTTCAGTGGATAAAGTTGATTTACCACAACAGCCACGAGCAAACAAGTGCAGGGCAATCGAAAAAATTCAAAGTCGAGGTCAGAGCCAAGGTTCAGTTCTCTCTGCCTTGCTCTTCATCAGTGTGATGGATGAACGCCGTAATGGAACCTCTCAGACATGAACCTTCTTGGACACTTCTCTTCGCATGATGTGGTCCTTATAGTAAGTACCAGAAAAGAGCTATAAGACAAGATACAGAACTGGAAAAATAGGCTAGAGTTGTATGGCATGAAGCTCAACACCAGAAAAGCAGAATATATGGAAGTGGGGGAATAATCTCCTAGTACCATAAGCATCGATGGTGAAGAGCTAAAGAAGGCAACTTCATACAAGTACCTAAACAGTAACATCTCAGCGGAGAAAGGCTTACAAGAGGAAGTCGCAGGCAGGATGAACACCATGGATGAAATGGAGAGCCTTAAAGGCAGTGGCTCGGCAAATCTCAACCTAGTCGAATTTGCACCTAAGGTTCATTCATGAAATCGTGACGATGGGTTTGACTGCGTCTTTGCGCCCACAAGAGCATAACCCCTCATACAAAAATGCATCACCTCAACGCTTAGCTCAGTCACTTCCAGTGTCCAGGTATTATCATACCTAAGCAGAAAAACCAGTCGAGTAGAGATTAAAAACCAAGAAAATGTGGTTGCCGGAAGGTGCGCGTGTGTCACGCGCGGTTGCGCCATCGTCAAAATTTCTTGAATGCCCTCTACCTGGGGTTAATCAATACGCTGATTTCGAAAATTTTGAAAGCTCCACTTTTGAAAGCTTGAAAACGGCGAAAATGAGCGTTTTTAATGCCCTTCCCTTTGG